TCATAGAATCATTGAGGTTGGAACAGACCCTTAAGATCATCAAGTCCAACCGTTAACCTGGCACTGCCAAGTCCACCACTAAACCATGTCCCTCCGCACCACATCTAGATATCATTTAAATACCTCCAGGAATGGCAACTCCACCACTTCCCTGGGCAGCCTGTTCTAATGCTTGACAATCCTTTTGATGAAGAAATTTTCCTAATATCCAATCTAAACCTCCCCTGGCGCAACCCGAAGCCATTTCTTGTCCTAGAGCTTGTTACTTGGGAGAAGAGACGGACCCCCTACGTCTCTACAACCTACTTTCAGACGGATGTAGAGAGCAATAAGGTCTCCCCTCAGTCTCCTCCCCAGGCTAAACACCCGCCGTTCCCCCAGCCACTCCTCAGACTTGTGCTCTAGACCCAACAAATGTTCCGTGGCTATAAATTAGGCAGCGCTATTAATTCTTACTGCAAGCCTTGAGTCTGTAACACCTCTAAGAGGTTTTTTCATCCACGCAAAGGAACTTTACCTTGACTACTTAGTGGCTGCCTGTACGTATGGGTGTCACGGACCAGTAGCATACTCAGACTTTAGTGAAAAGCAGATACACTATGATCACTTTATATACCATCTGTGCACATGAAGGAAATTCATAATTCCAGCATGCACAAAGCTATGCTTACAAACTTTCCCAATAAATTTCAAAAGTTGTTTTCAATATTAGAAAATAATTATCCTGGGATCAAAACCTGGCTTTATAGCTGTTAATTACATGTTTTGGTTTATTACAGTTTTTTGTCCATTTAATCACTTGTATTAAGATTAATATTACCTTTTTCTTTATGGCTAGACATTAGTAAATTGTACATGAAACTATAAAAGAAAGTAACTTGTATCCATTTCTCAAGTTATTAAGAGTGCCTTTTCCTTGATCCATTTTTCTCGCTAAAAGTGCCTGCAGTTTGAATTATTAGATACTTAAATGGTTTATCTGGAATAAATAAATAAGAAGCTTTAAAACCTAGGACATCAAGGCAACAGAGCAACGGCAAACATTTCCACTAGAGAATCCAATCAGGAATTCATTCACCACCCAATTTAAACTTGGAACTCTTATCTAAACTACAACAAACAAAATCCATGAGTCTCAAAGCCACTCTTTCTAGAAGAAAAGGCTCAAAACCTTATGAGAAACTCGTTTCATGGGATGTTTCACATTCCATCTAAAGTTTATTCCCTTATACATGTATTCCTGCTTCTAATATCAGCCAGATGTGACAACGAAGTCTAAGCAGCACCGTAAAAGATGCAAGCATATCATGTAGCTCAGCATTTCAGGAGGTTGGAGAAAAAAGGCAAATGTACCTGGAGCTAAGCCATTAATTAAGGAAGTAGTTACAATCTGAGAAGCATTCTAAATTAAATTTTATTAGTTAATACAAAGATTGTATTTCAGTGAAAACACACACTGCCCTGACATAAGTACGCTACGGTGGCAAACAAGGAAGCCATCAGGGACAATAGCACCGCTGTCCCAGACTGCAAACAGCACACATAGGAAACAAGAGAAGAACCCAACATCACCAAACAGGTTTATTCTCTCCCTTTTCAAGCACAACATCGAAACGTAGAACATGAGGTCAATTTCCAGCAGCAACAAGACTGCAGAGACTCTGCTGATACTGAACTACAGCCAGGAATTTGTTCCTTACTAAACTCACAGGCAGATTTCAGCCCAGCTGACAGAACACTAAGAGTCTTCAGATTTGTTTTGCAACCTTTCACTACACCTGAAACATTAACAGGTCTTCCCTGATACTCTCCAGCGCACAAAATTCTGCGTGTTTAAGCAGGTCAGTCACTCCATCTCCACCAACTTCTAGTAATGCCAATAAACATGCCCAACTTTCACACTATCAAGTTATCAAACTTAGAACTACACACAAAAGTCACAGTTTATATTTTAAAAAAATTGAGTCTGGACCTTCATGAACAAGGTTGTAGACTTGTATGGTTCACTCACGCCTGCTAAAGAGAGCAGCTGTAAGAATCACTGCTGATTTCAGCTGTATTTGCTATGAGGACAAGACTGAGCTCTTCGTTTTCAACAAATAAAATCAAATTTTCCATTTTGCATACAGTACACGGCAATACTTAGTTCTTAAAATTTTGCATCATTTGAGCCGTAGCAAGCTTAAGAATTAAAATACTCAAATTTGGATGTTCTACTTTATCAGGATTAAAACTACTACAAAACAATAAAATAACTGCCTCAAGGCTTAGTAGCCCAGAGTCGTCAGTGTGAAAATAGGGCAGCAGAAATAATTTACCTGTAATAGAGAAAATAAAAATTAAGATCAATATTATACACACTTTTAAATATTTATTTTAATTCACTCGTTGTAAATTCCACAGAATTTACATCACCCACGTATCAGTCCCTCTTATCAATTTTTGCTTCACTCCTTTTATTCCCTTTCATCACTTTCTCAACTACGCTTTCTTCTTGCAAGGCTAGGTCAGGCAGCTGTGGGAGAGGAATGCAAGCATCAGGCCTCTTCATTGAAGCGTTTCACCCTAAAAGCCAGTTGTGAACAATAGACTGGCACAGTTGGACTTAAGACAAGTCATAACAGAAGTGAGAAAGAACAACTCTGAAATCTACTAGCAGAAGGACCAAGACAGTAACACAAAAATATAGAAAATAACCTTCTTAAATACATATTTTCATTTTTCCTCAAATATATTTTTGTGTGTGTACACAATCTACTAGGCAGCAAATTTCTCAGTCTTATCCCATCACTGAAAAACACAATCAAACTGGACAGCGAACCATAGCAATTCACTTAGCTAAGATTTATTTAAAATATTCACTATATTTATATAACACTTGTATCTTCAAAAGAAAAAGCAAGTTTCTACTGACAAACAGTGCTGAAGTGATCTATCTAAAGCACTATTAAAGAGTAAGCAAGACTCTGAATGAATGTCCGTGAATAAAGACAAATACTTCACCAGGATCCATTGGGAGGCATTACAGAATACAGCATCCATATTAATCATTTTAGGTAATTTTACTACAATCTTTATATTCTAAGAACCAAAATTACTACCCTTGCTGTTAAGAACTATAATATATCATGATTACATGATCTACTAAAAAATACACCCTCTGCTATTGAAAAGCCCCAGTTACTTTCCCCTAGTTCCTTTGTGCAAGGTCGCTTAAGAGAGATACACACAAGTCACCACCACACACAACCTTCCCTCCAAAACCACAAGTGACCAGGAATGTCCTTTCAGCCTAATGATAGCCGTGTACAACGCGACTACTCAGAGCAAGTTTCAACCTGTTAAACTAGAATTTGTATTAGTGGATACAAGTAAACTCTATAATTTTTTTTTTTTTATCTTAAAAGCATCACTATTTCCTTAGGCAACCAACCTATATGAAGCAACTCTTCTATGAAATAAATACCACTGGCACCTTCTGGAGACCAGATAATAATATCTGCAAGTAAGCACCAGCTCACGCTTTAAACTCAAGAAGAGTTTCACGATGCAGAATTTCAAAAACACACAAAGAACATTTGGAAATAGAACCAAATCACTCAGCCCTAGCATATCCATTGAGCAAGTATTTTCTAGGGCATTCAAAAGCTGAGACAGAGATAGCAAGAACAAATCCATCAAAGACTTTTCAAGCAGATTTTGAGATGAAAAGACAGCTATAGTTTCTAATTATTCATATTTATCTTTAACGTCCAGAACTGTCATTCACTTCTACAGTTTTTCATGAGCAAGTTCACACAAAGTTCATAACAGAAATTTACCAAACTTGAATCGGTATCACTCACTGCACAACACTGTTCAGTTTGTCTGCTTTTAAAACATCAACAAAGAGCCTATTTTTAAAAACAATCACCTGATTCCAAAATTAATCTTCACCATCGCCACGTTTTGTATTTCCACAGGAAGACAAAAAAAAAAAATCATGTACTGCACTGCCTAAATGGTTTGTTTGGTTGCATAGAGAGGTATTTAACCAGTTATAAAACCCCCACATGGATGTAGCAACTTCTCAACAATCCTGCAGTAACTTTACAATTTCACAAGCCAAATCATAAATCCTACTAACTAGTGTTCCATAAACTCAAGCATACGGAAAAGTTTTACCATATAGCACATCTTTCAAAAATACAGAGTGGATCACAAGTTTAACTTTGGCAGGATCTAGAAGGCAATTTCAAACACCTTTTGACTACTCCTCTAAGAAGGCAGATGACTTTTCTTGATAGTAACTGTGCAGGCACCTGCTCATCCATTTCATTTCTATTATTCTATTTTTAAAAAATATGCTATATAAAACATCCAGTCAATGTGCTAACACCACTCTCCCCCCCGGCCCCCCAATATATCAAATGATGCCAAGCTCGTGTTAGTCTTCTCTTGCTGTCAGATGGCATCAAGACCAGTTTTAAAGATCTCATAACAGTTTTTATATTTCAAGGAGATAAAAAAATTCTTTACCTCTCCACATTTCTTCATCTCCCTGACTGATAAGGCAGCAGCCATAACTTTGCTGGTCTGCCAGGCAAAGGCTTGACTTAGTTGAGAAGATAATTTTTAAAACTAAAGAAGTTACATCAATCTGTGTTATGTAAACATGCTAATTTTAAAATAAGAGTATACAATCTCTCTTTGTGGACATCTAGACTACACTGGATATCAAAGTCGACACTTTCCATGGTTTCCATAACTCTACAGAGAGTTGAAAATCAATTCACCTTGAAGTCATCATGGTGAATGTGTAAGGAAAAGAAATATTTTGTGATTTCTCTTCCCTCTGATATTTATGCTCTACTGAATTACGACTATATATACGCAAACACAACACATGATCTTGAAAACCCTTGTTATTCTAGCAGTTCTAATATCACAAAACTTAAACCTTTCACCAAACCTGTATAATAAGGAACATACAACGGAAACAAAAATCAGATTATACTTACAGTCTAGTTAACTTCTGTGTGTTCTGAAAAAGCAGCTCTGGAAGAACTTGCAATTTATTCTTGTTCAGACGCCTAAAAAGTTAAATTAGAATAAAAATGTTATTCTAGCAGTTCTAATATCACAAAACTTAAACCTTTCACCAAACCTGTATAATAAGGAACATACAACGGAAACAAAAATCAGATTATACTTACAGTCTAGTTAACTTCTGTGTGTTCTGAAAAAGCAGCTCTGGAAGAACTTGCAATTTATTCTTGTTCAGACGCCTAAAAAGTTAAATTAGAATAAAAATATTAGATTATCTTCTAATTTAAGAAGATTATTCTATTATGCATAAATACATGAAGCTCCCATTGTTTTAAACCACATGGTATAAGCTCAGCATAGAACACATGACACACATTAGTCATACACAAGCCAAACAGATGACACCGTCTGTAGACCACCTGCATACATTCTTCAGGCAGGGAGTCAAGTGACAGTCACAGAAAGTTTGAATGTTTTAACACGGATGAATAAACAAATATATTCTCTTCAGTTTTCCTCTGGATGCCTACTAACAGTGAATCCTATGGCCCCCATGGTCTGCCTTCACTGCTCAAGGAACAGTTAGTAGGAAGTATCTGGATTTTCTCTTTCTTCTAAAGGCACAGTAAATTAAGTAACTTGACCAACTGAGATGATTTCCAAACTAGCTGTTATTTCTAGAATATACATACAACAATTGTTTTTTATTTATTAAAGAATTTTCTTAAAACTTCACCTTGAAAACGTGACCAGCTGTTGTAGAACATACAAGTAACCAGACAACTATATGGTGATTTGAAATAGAATCCTAATCTTTAAGATCCTTCCAGAATCATCTTAGAGAACTGCTTAATGTTTATATATTAGTCCATTTTACTGTGAAAAGTTTTACAACTGAGAAGTTGTGGTCATCAGTGTAAGAAATGAACTGTTACCAGTTCCTCCAGGCTAATCGCCATAAACAGCACAAGCTTTCTCTCCTTCGTGAAACACACGACAGCCCTGCAAAATCTAAAAGCTGTTCTACCTGTAAGAAACAATCTTTTTCTGCAATCCTTTTTCTGTTGTCTGACAATAAAAACATTTACTTGCATTCACACTCCTCATGAATGTTATTTACATAACAATTTACATAAGTTGACCTAAACTAATCAGATACAATTGTACTGTTGTCTATAAGAAGCTGACTTCTCATATATGTTCATATATAAAGCTGTATTTATGCCTCCTTTGTTCCCAATCTACCTTAAATGTTAACTTTGGTAACAGATCTATTTTTGCTAGAGTTTTGATCTCGGAACTCACCTGGAACTTTTAGAAACCTTCTGCTACTTAGCACCCAATATCTGGTTTCCAGTTTTCTTGCACACTGAGTAATTTCACTATCAGAATTCAAGAAATTTTTTTAATTGAAACGCCTTCCTCAGAGATCAAACTGATGTTGTGGGGTTTTCATATGGCTACCATATGAACACATCTTGCAAGATAAAGGGGTGATGGGGGAGAGGGGAATATTTACTTCCCTGACACCTAGAACAGATCAAAGGCTGCATTCGCAAGCTTGCTTGCAGAGCCTCAACGTTACGCGTTACGCATGCCACACGCTAACCTAAGCGGATACACAAATTGGTTATTTCACAGTGCTTCTACTCACTATCCAATTACATTTCTGAGATAAACGAACCAACCAGTAAATGAAATACTGAACAACAATGTGAGAGATACTGAGCACTAGTTTGCATTTGGAAAAGTCCATGGGAAGATTCCTTTACCCATGCATAATGTCACACTTTTAAGGCAAACTAAGCTTAATCTTAATCTAAGGTTGATAGTAACTTGCTACTTAATCATCATCAAATTCATACTTTCAGTTAAGCATGTTTATATTCTAGAAAAGTTGATGTACACAGCAGGATGAAATACAATGAAAAAATTACTCATGATAATACAGCTCTTGACACCTCTCAGTTCCACCCTCATTCATTACCATTAGCTCTGGAGAGATACTAAATATGTTGAACTTGTTCATTGATGAGAATGAAAAAGACTGCCAGTGAAACTCATCAGTTCCACATAGTTGTCTGGTATTTATCACTGCGTCTGATCATCATTTTAGCTCTCACAATGTAGGCGCAATTGTCCACTGTCAATCCAAAGTCATCCGAGTTATTTCAAAGCAATGTCTAAGGAATATGTTTTAAGAATATTCTTATCTCTAGTTGGAAGGATTTCACCAATGCTGACTTTATGCTTATTGTTTTAAGCCACAGGAACTAAGCAAGTTCTAGAAACTAAATCTGATTAGGAGCTTCCACACCAACAACCAGACAAGAAAATGTACATAGTAAGAAAAAATTGTATTTTCAAGGTTAGAAAGTTTGCAGCCTGAGAAGTCAAAGATGTACAACTTGCAGTGATACAAACAACTTCTTAAAGCAAAAAAGCTAGCATCAAAAAATTTTCCCTAACTTATTTTCAAATTAATCTAACAGATCAAACGTGTCAAGTGATTTCCTTTTAGTTGTATGGGCCAACACTGCTTTACCTGTGATGGATAAAGGACCAAGTTCTCAGTTGCCATTTTAAATGGTCCTAAGAGTTTTAAGATTTCATCCTGATATTACCTTATATTGATTTTCCTTCAGATATCATGTGAACACTGGGGGTTGGACTAGATGACCTCTAAAAGGTCCTTTCCAACCCAAACTATCCCATGATTCTATGAAGTTAAGTCCGCACAGGGATGCTTTTGAAAGCTGACTTTACGACCTACTGCTCACTAGCACTAAACATTTCCTCTTGGTCTAAATTTATTTAATATTTTTAACTATATATTGTTATAAATGAAGTGTTGGTCTTTTTATACTGCAGCAGTACGCAAGCTGAATCCATCGATCAAAATCAATAACGTGATGACATTCTTCCTTTGCCTTAACTTGTATAAGCTTGATTTGCAAAATAAAACCATCAGTACAGGTTAGCGCTCCTGTGCTGTACTGCACATAGTACTATTCAAAACACTGAGAGCGCGCAGTACTTCCATCACAAACAGAGCTTGCAGTTACTAAGCCAAGACTACATTAGCAATCGATAACTAAGCGAAGCTGAGGTAGCAAAAAACATCTGACAAATCCATGGATACTGATGTCTTGGTTCAAGCTATGGAACTCTCCAAACATCACTTCAATCACTTCCGAAGATATACTTCAAGTTGGAATTTGTGCCAAAAGTCATTTTATTCATCATTTGATTCTCAGGAGAAGTCACAGTATGAATAGGGTTTCATTTCTCTTGAACATCACCTACTGTATTTAACTCCTACTGCAATATTCCCCGAGGTATAAGACTAGATTACTTCATGTAAACTTCGACATCCTCGATGTAGGATACATTTAACATGCTTATCTTTATTACATGCCAGAACAGCACCAATAGCCTAGGAAAAATTCCATTTACACTTCTTATTCTATTCCTGGGTTTGAGAGAAACACTATTAAGGAAGTTCTCAATACAGCAGTATCAAAGTACCACATGGTGTTTTTAAATCCTATAAAAGAGACATAGGAGTGCTGAAAAATTATTTCCTGAAGAGAGCAAATGGTCTGAATGGTCATTTATGGGCACTGTTTCCTCCAGTTTGCCAGAGAAGTGCCAAACACAGATGAAACATAATGGAATAGAGTTCCTAAAACGCCATTCCACAACAACTGCACTTTATCCTCATCTATCAGCAAGCTCGAGGACAAGTAAGAAAACGTCAAGTGCAAGGTGAAGCAAACATTAGGAACGCCAGCCCAGGGCAGGGCAAGCCCTAATGCAGCTCTTCCTAAGGGCAACTTCAAAGCACAGGCGGAGTGCACCTCAAGGAACCCATTGGGTAGCACCCCCTTCACACACAAAATGACCCGAAGAGCAGTACAGAAATTTCCTATGCTTGCCCAAGCCTGTTACTGAGCACAGCCTTTCACCATCATGTTACCACCTGAATCTTGTCCTGGCAGGAGTTTAATTCTAATTACAACAGAACTTCTGATTTTATAAAAAATACCTTGGAAAAGGGGAAGCCATAAATTATTATAATAAAATAAAAATGGTCTGCAAAAAGATCATGAACAAAATGAGCCAAAGTCATGTAAAATGATTTTGTGGACATTGTTCTTGTGACTGCATTGTGTTAACAAATATAGATGTTCCTGATTTTAAAGTACTGACTTATTTAAAAAAGGAATAACATCAAGATACAATATCTGGAAACTGGATTTAAAAGCCAAGCCGTTTTTGCAACTGCAACTAACTACATGATGAAGAAATGATATGTCAGTTTTTGCGACTCTGACGAGTAGACCAGAATTAAAGAAAATATCATTTACGTTTCCTCATGAGCCAAATCAGTCAAGTTTTGATTGTCACACCAAATCCTCTCCATTGTTCAAAGTGGGACTCACAGCACACCAACTAAAATCTCTGACCTGTCCTCTTCTCTCATGTTAGAAACACATCTACCGCATCAGCGCACGCGTACACACACAGAGCACCAACCTCCACCAGCCCAATACTGAGGTACCCCTGAAGGAAGGAAGGAATCTGGGGTGCAGAGCCAGACCAGATCTGGTCCAGGTTATTTGACCTAGGGCTGCTGGATAAGAATGCAGCTGTTCAGTCTCTGAAGTATTTTGAACTGGAGGTTTTACAGCTAATGAGACCTGCAAAGTATCCCGGGAATTCGGAGCACTAGGCAGAATGATGCATTATTATCTAATGCCACAGAACAGATTAGCTCCAGTGCTGGATCAGAAGCAACTCTGGATGTGCACAGCATGGAGTCCAGACTAATAAAACCTCCTGGAAGCTGAAGATCTGTGCAGAGAGGCTCTCCAGGAATCATATCAGCTCCAGCAATACCTGCATTGAGTCAAACTTAAGTCTGATTAGATACATGCTGACTGTACAGTCAACGATCTCCATACTCTGCAACTCCCTACATCTTCCGGATTACTTGAACCAATACTATGCATGGGAAATACAACTTTGCACGTTCTCTTTTGTTAGTCTGCTCCTCAAGTCCCCATAAGTGAACCATAAAAGCTGACCAACCACCAACTGCACGATAGTTCTCAACGTGTAAACAATGGATCTCCAGGAGTTATACGTCACCTCCAAGGCATCAGTGTAAGACCGGCACACCGGCACAATGTCCTCTCACTAGGCTCAAACATATATTCACCTACGCTTCTGTTGA